AACTCTGTCGCTCCCCAGCCCATCATATGGTGTAGGCTGAGACCTTCTCACACACTTTTGTTGTAGCTCAGGGAGGTAGGGTCAACACCAACTTTTGTCTGCTGCTTTCAGTGTAGGTGTTACAGCAGGCTGGCTTGGCTGAGGTCATGGATGGTGGGAGCTGTGTCTGGAATTGGGCAAAGGTAATTGCTTGCTTCCAGGCCATCATTCTTGTTGCATCTCTACATGTATTTGTTGAGTTCCTAATACAGTGTGCTCCTTGTCCTTGTTTTGAAATCCTAGGTAGTACAAAGGATGCAAAGTAATTTCAGATTTACTCCTTGTTATTTACTGCTGTGCTAAGTTTAGCTGTAATTCCCATCTTGCCCTAAATATATCTAATATATAAGCTCCACCCAAAATAGCTTCATTAAAGGAAGAACTCTCTTCCCCCGGCTCAAAATGTTTAACTTCAAAGATCAGTATATGTTCTGGGGAGGTTTACCCGTAGGAAAAACAGCTTTCTATATAATAGAAGAAATGTGGGTTTGATCAAGAAAACAAGTAAGCAAAGAAACATCCCTATGAGATACAGTTTGCTAAGAGAAATACCCCCTTGCCACAGTCAAGCCCACTTTTCTAACTTGGCAGAAAATACTGAAAACAAACTTTTGGATTCTTCGTTATCTGCAAAGTCCATCTGTTGTATGCTGGCCCATTTAACCTCCTATGGTTGCATTCCCAAGTTACTATGAAACAATTACATTCAGATTAAAGCAGAATCCCAGAGGAAAAAATAACCTGAGATAGATGTGGCAAAGCACAATGATGAACAGAAAAACTTCACTGAAAGGCAAGAGAGAATTGGAAAGAATTTCCTTGTGGTTGATAAAGCCTCTGAGTGACCCCATAGGGTCACGGAATCCATATTGTGATCTTCCATGCTTTGCTGGCAATTGTCCACAAGGCCTCATTGGTTTGTCACAGACAGTGCCTTTATCAGAGGTAAAGCCTCACACCTTGAATTTCTCAGTGAGTTTTGACAGCAGAAACTCACCCAGCACACCCTTAACTTCAGCTCACCTTTCCTGTGAGCAGCTTCAAATAAATGCCTTTCCTCTGTTTTAGTGACTGGTGTGCTGCTCAGCTGCTGCCTGTCAGGGAAGGTTCACCGCTCCTTGGAGACCAGCACACCTTAGTGCATTTCCTCACACAGGATGTGTGATCAGGTCCCTCTCTTTGCTCTTCCTTTCAAAGGTACCTGTTTAATTTCCGGGGAGTGGCGGCCAGTTTCCGCTTGAAGCACCTTTTCCTGTGCGGCTCACTCGTCTTCCATGTCGGAGAGGAGTGGTTGGAGTTCTTCTACCCCCAGCTGAAGCCTTGGCTCCACTACATCCCGGTGCGGTCAGACCTCTCTGACGTCAGGTGTGGGGCCTGAGGCCACTGCATGGAGCATTGCATACCATGGGGAAGCCTTTGGGAAGGTGGGATGGTTTGTGTTAGGCCATGAAGTGCCTCCACTCTGAGGCATCAGGCAAAGATTTTTGGAGGTCATGGTCTTTTCATCACTACCCCCAGAGAATCCTTTGCTGATTTGGGGAGTGCAGTTACACTGGAGTAAGATTCTCACTCTCACTGAAATCAGCAGGCACTAGACACTTAAATTTGCAAGTGGGCAACAGTGATAAGGGGGGAGAAGAACTTAACCAGTGGGCCAAAAATGTGTTAGCTCCCAGATTTCAGGAAGTTGTCCAGAAGTGATGTGAAACAATCAAGCAGAGAAGTTGCTTCTGTGCTGAGGTGAGCAGCTCTTTCACTCACTTGTAGACTCTTAACCTCACCCTCCCCAACAATTTAGCTAAGGGATTATGTTCTCCACTGAGCCAGTTGTTTCATAGCTTTTTTTTTTTTTTTCTGTGTATGTGTCTTCATTTTAGGGAGCTCTTGCAGTTTGTAAAGGAAAACGATGCCATAGCACAAGAAATTTCAGAGAGGTAAGCAGTATGTGCTTCCTGGCTATTAGGCAGTCTTCTTCTAAAACATTGTCTTACACTGCTTTTGAAGGGGTTGCCCATCAAAGACAACCAGTATTAGTAGGGTGCAGTATAACTGATCTTCTGCAATAAGAGTAGGAGGGCTGGAGCAGTGATAGCAAGCAGAGGGAAGCAGAGAGCAGGATGCTGTGCTTAGCTCTTCAGTTCACATGTGACCCATGTCAGGAACCCCATGGAAAGCTGGCAGAGGTTGGGAGCTTTCATCTCAGTATGACACAAGCTGGCTCCTGGGAGCTGTGTCTGCGCTGTAAACATTATCTATCCAGGCTGCTCTGAAGCAGCATGCATCAGGGCTGCTCTAGTTGCATGTGATAAGTGGAATCTGATATTTATTATCCCAGATAGCAAATACCGTCCTGAGGATAGCAAAAGCACTGCAGCCGTCAGAGCTGTGAGCATGAATGAAAATTGTAAAATTAAAACAGACAGTACAGAGCAGTGTGTGTTGTTTCTCATTTGAAACAAGGAAATGCGAAAGTTGATATACATCCAAACCAAAACTAATGACTCTTGTAGGAACTGGAAAACAGTCCTGACTGTGACTTGTGTGTCTCTAGGGGACGTCAGTTCATCACTGAGCACTTGGAGATGGAGGACATCTCTTGCTACTGGGAGCATCTGCTGTCTGAATATTCCCAGATCTTGACTTACAAAGTGAAAAGGAGGAAAAGCTACAGCGAGATCACTTCTGGACAGCTGAAAACAGAACTGTAGAGACTTCTCTGTTTTTCTCTCTGGCTCAAACTGGTCACTGTGGAAATCTGAAGATCAGTATTATTTCTTGCTCTCTCAGACTTACCTTTCACAGTAGAACTGCACTGGGACCTGGTTATATTGTCACCTCAAGAATGTTAAGCAGCATATTGGATTAAGACTAATGGGGTGGTCAGTCATGCCTAGAGGAGGGATGTTAGCATTTAGGACTTAGTTACTACCTGTCTCAAAATGATCCTAAATCCCATTCAGTCGATGAGAAGCCTTAGTGGACTTATTACCAAAGGTCATGGCAAAGGACACAGGCTGAGCTGCACTCAGCTAGTAAATACTTGCCCCTTTGTTTGGCAAATGTTTTCTCAGCTGGGTGATAGCACTTGGGGTATTAGGTGTTCTCTGACAAACGCAGGTACTGGGATTTGGGGCTATATAACTTTCTGGGTAGCTTAGGGTTTATGTTGGGTTTTAGAGGTCGATGGTAAGGTTTTGACATGCCCTTGGAGGATAACTGATCCTTGCAGAGTTACCCTACCTACCTCACAGGGGATCAGCATACGGTGGTGATGGGGCCATCACCAGTGATGTGCTTGGCAACTGAGACAGAGATTCTTCCTCCAGCAGATGAGCTGGGTGCCTGCACAGCCCTGCACAACTGAGCCCCTGTTAATTATCTCTCACCAGCTGCCTGGCCAGACATCCTGGGATGTCATCCTTAGGAACCCAGAGAAAGTATTCACTGAGGTAGATTCAGCACTTCCTTTTTCCAGAAGTGCAGAGTCTGCTCTGATCCCCTTCTGTAATCTTTCCAGGATTATTTTAAGTGTTTGTTTTTTTTTTTTTGGTTTGGTTTTTTTTTTTTTTTTTTTTTTTTTTTTTTGGGGGGGGGGGGTTTTTTTTTTTTTTGAGACTGGTAATACATCTGCTCACTTTACTACTTGCTTTTCTTCCCCACATCTGTGCCACTTCTTTTTTCATCTCCTTCAGCCTGGTTGAGGGAATGTCTTCAGTCACACAGTAGCAGCTACTGCTCACATTACCCATTTTGAGTTGCTCACAGGCTGATTGTGCTCGCTGTGTTTATGCCCACCACAGCCTCTTGGCTAAGGACTGCAATTCCTGAAATGCTCTGTGCCCCCTAAGATAAGAGGCTGGAGGCAGCAGCATCTTCTCTGGCACCCAGACAGGAAGAGTGTGGGGTGCCAGGAGGGACACAGGAGCCTCCCAGGGGAGCCTCCTTGTTGGTAAAGCAGCCTCAAGGCTGAGAGAGCAGCACATTATAATGGAAGAGGATGATAGCAACAGCTCTCAGGCCCTCTGCAGTCAGTGTGTATCAGGGAAGAAGGAAATTGCATGGAACAATAACATTTAATGTGTGCCCTCGCAGAGGCCTTGCAGCCCTGGCACAGGGACATAGCAGCTGCACTATTGATCAAGTGCTGGTTGCTGGGGCAGTGTGTTGGTTTTGGGACCAGTGCTGGGGTTATTTCATCCAGCAAAGGAAACAGAATGGGGCATTAACCTGGTTTCCCAGGAAAGTTGTGCCAGAGTGGAAGGGGTTTTCTGGTTTTCTATTTTTAGCCAACAGAGAGACAGCACTCCAAGAAACCGAACATCTCTGTATGATATTTTAAAACCATTTGTAATGAAGGGCTTTTTGGAATAAAACAAAAAATGAAGTTTTGTTGGATGCATTTTCTTCATCAGAAGAGTGATAGGAGGTCTGCAGAGCCCCAGCTTTTCCACCCATAGATCTTGCGATGACACTTGATTGTTGCAGCTTAGGTGGCCCTTGGCCAAAGTGATGATTCTTCAGGAGTGGGGGAAGAATCCCGGGAATTCAAGAATCATGGGTTAAAATATGCACAAGCCCGGTGGGAAGGCCCAGGCACCTCTCCTGGTGGGGAGCTTTCACTTCTTTGGTGAAAGGAAGAATTCACAACAGAGGTGTTTCAGGAAAGGCAGTGAGCCCCATGAGTGGCGCCATCTCTCCACGCAGGCTTTGCCCGGGGGTTGCTCCCCCTCTGTCCTATGCAAACCGGGCACCACAGCCCCCAGAACTCAGCTCCTCTCTCGCTGTGGGGAACAAACCCGGCCCTGCACAAAGGGGCAAACACTCGGAGTTGTTCATCAGTGACTAACGCAGAGCCGAGCCGTTCCGAGCGGTCCCGAGCTGTTCCGAGCCGTTCCGAGCGGTTCCGAGCGGTCCCGAGCCGTCCTCGCAGTGCCCCGCCGGGGCGCAGGGGGCGCTGCCGCCGCCGCCGCGGGCTCGGCCATGGCGGATCTGCCCGGAGCCCGGGCGGGCTTCGGCCCCGCGCCGCTGCCGCAGACGGGCTGGGAGCGGCTCCGCGAGCTCTGGCGGCGAGAGTGAGCGCCGGGCCGGGCTCGGGCGGGACGGGGCGGGACGGGCGGGGCTGGGTGGTGGCGGTCCCGCCGTGCCCACCCCGCGCCCATCGCCGCCCTTGCCTTGCAGCGAGCGGCAGCAGTTGCCGGAGGAGACGGTGAACATCGCCAAGGCGGCGTTCACGGCGGGCGTGGTGGGCTGGCTGTACGGGGGGCTGCCCGCCTTCGTCAGCGCCCGCAAGGCCTTCATCGAGAGCAGCCACGGCGAGATGTTCCAGAACCGCGCCGATGCCGTGGTACGGGCCCGGGGCTGCGGCCGGGGCGCACGGCGGTGCCGGGCTCGGGCGGGGCCGGGGCCGGGCTCGGGCCGGGGGGACGCGTGTGCGGGTCTGGCACAGAAAGTTTGCTGGGAGTGTGTGAGTCCGTGCAGGTCATCCGCTGCGGGAATTAGCAGGAATTAGGGTTCCCCGTTAGCCAAATTGCAAATTAGCTTCAGAAAAGCGTCGTTCATCACAGGGAAGGTTGGTAACAAAGTTTACCATTCTCTTAAGTGGCTGATTAATACGTCTCGAAATGGCTTTCTGCTTTTGCGTTTTAGTCTGCTGACAGGAGACTTCACAGTATCAAACTGGGATTGTACTCTTGTCTTATTAATGTGAGTCATTTTTAGACCATTTAAAATTCTTTTAGAAGAACAGCACAACAAAGAACACTTGTGACATTTTGTAGATGTATTTGAACTTCTAGGTGTTTGTTATTCAATTAAAGTGTTGGTTACGTGGAATATGAGGAAGAAAACCTTTTTAAAAATCTGCCTGATGTTAATTTTGTATTACTTACAAAATTTGGCCTCTGATGTGGTGACCTGCAAATTGCCACTGCCTGGCTCCGCTCTGGTGACTGGTATATCTGACCCAGGCTAAGAACCTACACCACAAACACTGGAAGAGAAAATTTATTTACTTTCATGGTATTCAGTGCAACATTTTTAAATTTTATGAAGCCTCTGTTTACCACTTATTTTAAAAAAAACTCTTCTTTCCAAACTTTTAAGTGCCAGTGTTAAACTGCAGAGCTTGATGATACCTTAATATTTAACGCAGATGGTTATTATTTACTTACTACTATTGTAGAAACTACTTTCTATATGAAGTAGTTTCTAGTTTTTCTCTTTCTCCTCTGCTGCTGTCCTGTCCTTGAAGAGCCCTCCCAGTCCACCCAGACGTGTTTCAGCAGCAGGATTAGAAAGACCAGTTGACATTCCAAACTGGAACTGATTCTTGGTTTTCCCGTTGGTGGCTGGGAGCAGCTTTTCCTCCAAAGGTGGCTGACTTGATCGGAGCTGGGGTACCAGCGGCAGGAGACATTGGTCCCCTGGGCTGGCCTGCAGGGTGCTGGCAGGAGGAGGGGCTGTTAGCTGTGACATGTCCTCTCTGTCCCCTCAGCAATCTGCACACCGCGCTGGTCTCCGCAGCTTCATCCGCTACGGCTGGCGCTGGAGCTGGAGGGTCGCGGCTTTCGCCACCATGTTCAAGTGAGTGTTCCCTGATGTGGGGCAGCAGAGCTGCCCTGTGCTGGTGCTTGTCCTTGTCCTTGTCCTTGTCCCTGCCAGCAGTGCCCACAGCTCTGGCCTTTGATTGAGGCTCCTGCTGTTACCTTGACCTGAGTCTGGTTGATCAGGCAGGAGCATGAAGAGAGTTTAACCTTTTAGAATTGCCTCAGAATTCTCATCTTCTAATGAATCAACACAAATCTGAAATGTGGAAAAGCCCTTTTTGTACATCTGTTACTGAGTTGCATGCTTTTCTTTCTTGACAGCTGCTTTCTGCTTTTCCTTCATCTCTTTATGTGCTTTTAATCTGAGGGAGTGTTAAAGTGTGTTGGCAGTTTTTGGAAGTGCTTTCTAACCCACACTGATTTTTGTCCTTCCTACAATGTCTCATTGCTCCTGGTTTGTATACGCTGGTGGTACTCACAATTGTCACTACTACTACTTTGTATACACTGGTGTTACAATTCTTTGTTCTTGTCCTCAGGCATTTGCAGGGGATTGTCTTGTTCTTGAGCAGTTGCTGAATATCAGATCTACTGCTTCTATGTACCTGTTAGGCCTTCAGGATTTTTCTACACACACAAAGCCAATGCAGAGAGTGTTCTGCTTCCCTGATTTTCTTCCTTGGATGTTGCAGTGCATTTCTGGCAGTAGAACATCAAACTAAGTGTCGTCTTCTGAGCAAAGCCCTTTTAAACTAGAAATATCTCCTTCCCTGTTGTTCAGACTACTAAATTTGTAAATTTAAACCTGCATTGACTCTCTCTGCAGATATGTTCTGTTTAAGTTCTCCTTCTGCTTTTAAGATCCCACAATATTGACTGGCATGATTTTATATTTCTATCTCCCTAATTTTTTTTTGTTCCTTTCTGAATTTCTTCCTCACTGTCTCTTGATGTCTGTGGCTCCTTTTAGTTTAGTATCTGTTTTTAGGCTTAGTTAGTGTGCTGTTTGCTTTCTCTCCTGGAGCTCTTGATTTCTTTGGGTTTTCTGGATTTCTTTGGGTTTGACATGTTACCTTGTTGTCTTCCACCAGGTGTCTCCTCTGCAGTCAGATCAGCCCCTTTGGAAAGGTTCTGAACAAAGCTATTTGCTGCTCAGCATCATTTCTGTAAAGCCCAAGTTGCAAATTCCATCCTGCAGTTGTGAAAACTTTAAGTTTCACAATTAAAACCCAAAATGTTTGGGTTTATCTGTGTTGGGAAGGAGAGGAGGATTGCTGCTGGCTTGTCAATGTCACACAGGAGGCTGGGGAGTATGTGGCTGCTGAACTGAGAGCAGACTGTTTTGAGGCTTAGCTGATGTTTAGGAGGAGTTGGTTTACCTACCCCAGAGGGAAATCTGATGCCACAAGAGTAGGTGACCCTGCTGATGTCATGAGTGTGACATAGGCTGTTGTATTGGGGACTGTTTACAGGGCAGGATCTTACTGACACATGGAGCAGCTTCTGGGGTAAATGTCCTACATCAGGACTGGCTGACTGATGGGACCTTTTCATTGCTCAAATTCTTTTCTCCTTGACTGTATTACATGGTCCTAGGCAGTAGAACAGGTAGTTCAGAGAAGCTGTGGATGCCCCATCCCTGGAGGTATTCAAGGCCAGGCTGAATGGAGCTCTGGGCAACCTGCTCCAGGTGGAAGGTGCCCCTGCCTGCAGTGAGGGCTTGGAACTGGATGATCTTTAACATCATGTCCAAACTAAACCATTCTGATTCTTTGATTCTATATGATAGGAAAGAAAAATCTTTGATTAAAAAAAAGAAAGAGTATCTCAGATCCAGTTCAGGAACTCTGATATTCCCTGACCTGTGTCTGTGCAGCTGCCCACAGTAAAGTCAGAGAAGTCATGGCTGGAGTGGGGTGCCCTGAACAGATGGGCAACCTGAGGGCTGGCTTAACGAAATCCAGCTTTATTTCAGGCTGTGTTTTGCTACCTCTCTTTTTCCATGTGCACTGCTGACTTCTGTGCCTTGCCTTTGCAGCGTGGTGAGCACGGGCCTGTCTGCGTACCGCGATAAAACCACCATCAGTAATTTTGCTGCAGCAGGAGGTAAGAGTGCTGTAACCTTGTGTGCTCCTGTTTGTTAGCAAGGGTTGTAGCAGAAAAGCATAAGCAAGTATCCACATCCCTTGGGATTGAGCAGCTTCTGTGCTCTTGGGTTTTGCTGCTTGTTCCACTGACTTTGCTCTGTTGTTTGCCTGCTGCGTGCCTTTATTTGTAACACAGATACCGATGCACTGCTGAAACCATTGGGGAGTTTTGTGGTTCTTAGTTCATCTTCAAGATACTTGCTGGAGTATTTTGGGTGAAAAATGCTTCTGTGGGGTAAAGGCAACACTTGGTGCATAACCTGTTCACATAAGCACCTATTTAACAGGGAAAGCCTTTTTTATTTCCACTCTTGGTAACAATCCAGCACACTGTTTATAGGCTGCCCTTTCTATGCTAAGTTTTGCATGCCCACTTTTGGCAACAGGGTAAGTGATCTGCTTGTTAAGTTTTACAGGCTTTATTGCCTGTACAGCTGGATACACTTTTTACTGATCCTTTCTGCCTTACATGGCAGCTGCTATTATTAGCTGTTGTTGAACAGAAAAAAGGGTGAGGGAGATCATGCTCCAGCCTACAGAGAGCTTGGTTTCACTTTCATAGATACATCTATGATATGGGAAAAAGTTTGGCAGTTTTTCTGAAGCAGAAGGAGCTTTGTGCAGTTTCAGTGCAGAGACCATGGTGACTGTGTGGTGAAGGTCTGTCCCACTGGCCATGGCACTTGGTTTCTGCTCTGTTAAAAGCAGCTGTCAGCTCGTGGAGAAGAGAAATGCAACAAAGCAACTTCCTATGTTGGTTTGAATGTCTGTGGCAAGGCTGTTTCTAGTTTCAGTGGGTTTGTTCTTCTTTTAGGCTTCACAGGAGCCCTGTTCAGGATGCACTTGGGCCTGCAGGGCCTGGTGGGTGGCATCGTGTTTGGAACAGCATTTGGGTGAGTTGTGACTGCTGCACACACTGAGCCTGGAGTCACAGAGGGGCTACAGGAGCTTCCCTTCTTCTCTTGCCTTGAGGGATTTTCTGTATCCCTCATGGTGATCACTTTTCTCCCAACCTTTTAATTGTTCTTCTTTTCTTCTATGTTTCTTGTTTTGTGTTTTGCTGCTCTCTCAGTAGTGAGAGCTCAGTCCTTTCAGCAGACCATCTTATTTGCTGCTGTTTGCTTATTAGAGGGAACAACATAAGCTCCACCAAAGCTCAAATGGGAAGTAGCAGCCATTAGGAAACAGGGAGTAGGGATGGAGTAGATGCATGGCTGGGCTGTAAGGTGACACGTGTCTCTGTGTGTGTCTTCATGTGTGTCTTGCAGTCATGAATCTCCTGAAGTTCCTGGGGCATGGAGGATCCCAAGGTTCTGTTTCAGAGGCTCTGTGCTTCTAGACCTCTAACTCAGAAGAAATCTGACTTTTCAAGCAGGACTGGGATTTCTTCTCAAAGTTCTGACCTGTAAATATCCTCACAAGTAAATCTGAGGATCCTACCTGAAAAAGAGAATGAGTTATTTGTGCTGCTTGGCACCATCAGGATGGTGTCAGCTGTGAGCATGCCAGAAAGCAGCCTAGGGAGCTTTACCAGTGAGAACACAAGTACTTCCAGAACTGGATGGAAGCTGAGCAGGGGTGTCACTGTCTGAGATATGGTTTAGGTGTTCTACAGGGTCTGCACTGGGAACCATAAATCCTTCCACTCCTTTGTCCTGTGTGTGCCTGTCAATGAGTAAATTCAAAATATGCTATCAGCAGGGCTCTGGTGGGTCACAGCTGAAGAAAGGCTGTTCTTGGTGGGTGACAGGAGAACAGGAGTACCTTAGTTTGTGGTGTGATGTGAGTTTTAGGCCCCTGCTTGCTCTTTCTGCTGATGCCAGTAAGTTATTGCTGTTGTGTGTCCCCTGGGTGACTGGTGATTTCTCTGCTTCCTCCTTCAGGGTTCCTGCAGGAGGCCTCCTCATGGCCATGTATGGCTTGGCTGGTGAGACCTTGCAGGAGAAGAGGAGTCGTGAGCGCAGGGAGCTGCATGAGCAGAAGCTGGCAGAGTGGTGAGGAGCAGCTCTGTCCCTTCAGTCGTGGACTGCGAGGGTATCTGGGCCTGTGGGTTCAAACATTTAGAGAAACCATGACACACTAGGTTTTCTAAACCTCAGTTCTTCTCTTGGTTGTTGGTGTTGTTCACATACCAGTCTTAGAAATGCTGATTTAGTCTTCCCGGTCTTTTCCTTTATTGCTGCCTTCTTTCCATCCCTATTAAAGTGAGGAAAGGAGGATAGCTGAAGGCTTGTGGGAAAAAAGGTCATGACACTGGTCATGTGAATTACTGAAACTCACTAGTTCTAGAAGAAATTTTCAAGAGCTTGGATTCTGCACTCATGTCTCTGTCAGGAGAATGCAGGCATTAAATTGCTTTTCACTCTCTCTTCTCTCCTTAGGCAATCCAGGCTCAGTATGACTGAAATCTTAGGCCAAACAGAAAGCAATGCCCAGGGAAGACCAGAGATGGAGAGAGCAAGAGAATTGAAGAGCTACTGAGTCTTCCCCAGATTTCAGTTGTAAGAAGTTACGTAGAATTTTGATCCAGCTTGTAAAAGCCTTCAGTTGAGGGATCATGGGAGTTGTCTGTGGATGCAGTGAAAACGTGTTTGGCTGAAAACATTGTTCAGGGGTGGGTATCACTGCACAAAGAGCTTGGAAGGGCCAAACCTGTTCCACCTGAGAAGATGGAAATGCAAACTTTACAGACCAGGAAGTGTCATGTAGCTTTGGGAAGATGTGAGGGTTCCAGAGCCTCATCTAGAACCCATTTCACTGCTGAAAATGTCCAAACCACCAGTGATGTAGAAATATTCGAGGTAAAGGAGCCTACCAATGGTTTGTGTGCTAAAGGTGCCCTGAATCCAAAAGTTCATTATGCCCTGGTGAAAGCTGCTCTTCAGACAGTGCCTGAAGAACTTGCTGATGGTGGTTTCTTACTTGGCTCCTACAGTACTTGGGGTATTTTGCAGTCAGTGTGGAAGAAGGGTGGAGGAGTTGGGAATTACATGGAAATACCCTGAAAAAGGCATGTTTTGGGTTCTTCAATAGAGGCCTGAGGGTGCCACAGGAAACATGGCTTATTTCTGGTGGTGACAGTGGAAGCCTTGGTGCTGTGGACAGTTTTAACAAGAAGAAGGCCTCTAATTCCATTTGCAAGTTGGATATCAGGGGATGACCTCTGGGGGAAATGTAGTTCAAGACACTCAATAAAGACATTTAGCAGTGGTGACTGTGTCCATAAGCTCTTTGTGCCAGTACAGCTGGTACTTTATGCTTGTACAGTGCTGGTACTAGAAAAGCATCCCTGAGTGGTATTCCTTGAGAAGAGCTCTAAGATGCCACCAGACAGTCCTGTACCCAGGCATTAACAAAGGCAAGAGCCACGAGAGTGCCAGTTCTATTATTTTGTTCCAGAGATGAACTGTTCAGTCAGAGGTGTTACCTGTGGGTGGTGCTGGAGTTACTGTAAAATGGTCTGTACTCAGAAGGGTGAGGTGGCCCATCACTGTTCCCCCAAAGGAGGTCAGAATTCCTGTTCCCTTTCTTTGTTCTCCTACTAAAAGGGATTACATCCCGGCAGGATTTTCGGGTGTTCTTCTCATAAGAAAAGAATTGTTCTGGTTGAATGCTTTTCCAGATAATTAGTGTTGATTGAAATATGAACAGTCGATCCCACGGAGTGTATTCCACCCACCCAAAGCAGATTTTTGGCACAGTTTGCTTTCAAGAAGGTGTTGTGTTTTCTGACTCCTGAAGTGAGCATTTAATTTTCTAAACACTCCAGTGTAGCTCATTTTTTTCCACTGAAGAAACATGTATTTCAGGGTTGTCATCAACCAGCTCTGATTTTCCTTTTCTTTGTATATGTGAAGGATCTGCATAAGCAGAGGTATGGATATATCTTTCTCTGTTCCTGTTTTAAGCTGTATGTGCTGGTGACAGTAATGGTCCTTTGCCCACCCCACCCCCCCAAAAAAAAAAAAAAAAAAGAAAAGAGTCCCTTTTCTAAGTCACATTATTGCCATCGTGCATACACAGCGAAGTCTTATCTTCATCTTTTTTATCTTCTTTATTCTTGCTATTACATCCCCTCCCAATATCCCACAGTCTTATCTGTACAGCAGCTCTGATGACATTTAGCTGTGTCATTGCTCTCTCTATTCCCGTTTGGTGGTATTTGATGTGATGCCTAAAGAATACTGATTTTCCTGTGCCTGACCATTGATGCAGGGATGTTCTCCATGAGAGGGAAGGCTGTGAGCCAAGGTGTAGCAGTTGTGTGGATTTTCTCTCTGTGCAAGGGAGGGCTGCTACATGTTCTTAAGGGGAAGCAGAGACTTCCAGCTACACTCAAGATTAGCAGCCATTTGTTTCTCAGTTTTCTGCTGAATTTAGTTCCCTGCACTTCCTTATTTCTTAGACTCCCAAATGGGGAGTGAAGAATTGGTTCAGAGTTTGTTTCTTACATACCTGTAAAGGAATCTTCACATCCTCACTCCCTCCACCCCCAGCAAAAGCACAGCACTGAAATTATTGACCCTCCACTTTCAGAGTAGGTAACCCAAGTAATGGGTACAGTGAGAACACTTTACTCTGGGTTTTGCTTTTGCAGAGAACCTCTTTGGAGGGAGAAGGATGATCTGTGGCTACACTGCTCAGCTAACCCCTGGCAAACTGAGAGATGTCAGGGGTGTAGAAGTCACAAGTTGTTACCTGAGTGTCATTTTGTCATTGCTGTCAGCACACTGGACAGAGCTGTAGCTTGATGCCAGCTGTACCTGGTACAGTTTTGTCAACACCTGCATCACCTACCTGGATGCTGTGAGATGGTGACTAACATGAACAACAGAAAGGTTCTACACAGTGCATAGACAGACATCTTTTATTACTAATGAAAGGAAACTAAATTTAAAACTTATTTTTAATACAATTGAAGGAGGAACCCCACTAAACAACATTATATACAAAACACCCATGGTAAACAGAGCAGCTCACTTGCTACAATGACACAGATATAAAGCTGAGAAGGTCTCACAGAAACCATTTGTGTACAATTCACTGAATACAGCATAAGGCAATAAAAAACATGATCCAGAGTATTAGTGCTTAATGAAAAATGAACCAAATAACCTGATGCTAGAAATATTTATCAGTGAAAGTTTTGGATTCCTTTAGAAGGAGTTACTGGAAGTGTTACTGGAGTCTGCGGTGATGTGGAAAGGTTTAGCGCAGAGCAAAAGAAAAACCCTTCACCAGGAGGCTGCACAATGACTGGTCAGGAGCAGAAGAAGAGAGCATGGGATAGTGAGAGGGAAAACATGCTGCTACAACTGGCAGAGCTGTGGTGTGGCTGGCAAGGTGCAGCTGCAGTGTGGTTACAGGGAAGAACACTGTTGGAAATCAGCAAAGTTGGAAGTGAATGCCAAGAGAGGGTGGTCAGCCTGCAAGGAGCTGGTGGTTTGTGCTGGAGCAAGCATAGGCTGAAAGAACAGGAAATCTGAAAAGTGTGGGACACATCACTCATGCACCAAGTCCTGCAATAGGGTCAGGCAGCCTTTTGAAAACACCCTGATTTCTATCACTTGTGTTCTGTTTGCAGCCAGAACACACAAGTGCAATTGCTTCCTTAACCCCCAGTTTACCTCCTTTTCTCTGTCAAAAACTCCTCTGTAAGAATGTCCTGAAGTTCCCATTACACTTGCTACAATGGGAAAGCAGTAAAAAGGTGATGGCACAGCGTGACTCTGCAGGAGTAGGAAGGAAGCATTGTCTTATTTTTTACTTAATCCCAGAGCTCAGTATCCTATAAACCACTTTTAATCCCCCTATTTTCTCTAGCAGTTTCTCAATATGTACCAACTGGAAAAAAAGTGAAATGGATGGACTATGTCTTTGCTGTGTCCTAGGAAGATAAGCGGCTCAAATAACATCTCACAGAGAGGATGGCACTGTGCTTTCAGACTGGTTTGCCTTGATAACGTGGATAGAACAGCGAGGAATAGGTACAGCTTGCAGAGCAAAAGGGAAAAATGTTCCAGTCAAATTCAGGGCAGAGTTGCTTAGGAAGCTTATTGGGGGTTGGGGCATTTTCCTCCTTTCCCCTCAAAATGAGAAGCCATTTTTTTCCTACACAGTAGGCAAGAATGTCACCTGGATCAGACGAGTCCTGTTCAAAGTTATCATCTGGTAGAGAAATTCCTTCTAGTCCTGGGTGTGTGGAGAGAACACTGGCAGAAAGCGGCGATGTTCGGTGCAAAGTAAATATCCTTGTGCTGCTGTGAGAAACTCCCAAAAATCTGCAGAGCTTTCCCTAACAAGTATCCCATGGCAGTTTACACACAGAAGCAGACCCATGTTTATGAAGCAAGGCCCCGAGTTACATTTGATTACAGTAGATAACACGAGATCACCACTGGCTGTCACACAAGTTCCAATGGGGCTTTACAGGTGTGGCTGGGAAGGAATTGGCCACGTGTGTGCACAGGTGGTGTGCCCTCACACAGCAGCTGAATGGAGGAGCTGTACCTCGGTGCTGGGGTTGGTAAGGCTGTCCTTTCAGGAGAGAAAGGGTACGAGAACTTGTGCCACTGCAGTATATAAGCAATATTAATTAGCTCTTAGGAGTGCTGTCAGTGTGTACCATTCCCTAAAAAGTTCTCATAGCGCTGCAAATAAGCATGAGGCACACAGACTCACTTCCAAGGTGTCTTTTTTTCATGAAAAATGTGTCCACTATTTCCTTTTCAGGGGAGAAGGGATGCGTATCTGTAACAGTTGAGTCCAAATCCAAAGTCCTCCAGCAGGAAGTTCAGATATTTGCGTGAGGCTGAATATAAAATAAGTTTTGGCTGCTCCCACTCACGGCATGGAGGCACAAACGGACAAGACTGCACGTCAGGATTTGGGGTGTCCCGAAGGGCAGCTCCGTGTTACTGAAGGGGTAGGTGGGCATGGGCTCCCTGCTAGGGCTCTGCCTGATTCTCACAGAGGCAGCATCAAAGCCAGAGGTTGCTGAAGCCTTGACCTGGTGTGGCACTGATGACACGCTTCAGCCCCGCTGCAGGAACACGGAGGGTCCTCTCGGCTGGAATCCCAGCGACCTCTTGTAACGAGGCCGCCGCACAGCTTCCACCGTGGGCGGGGGCTGCGCTGGTCCGCAGGAGGTTGTGTTTGAGCCGTGGTGAGCGGAGTTTGCTGCTGCCGCCACCCCCTTGCAGAGAGCCAAAGGGTCCATGCAGCAAGCATCACTGTACAGCCAGCATGGAGTCTGCAGTGCGGGATGCACAGCGTGAAGAACCTGAGGGACCCGAGGAAAAGATTTCACCGACTTTTTGTTTTTCACGCCTTACATGTACCCCGGTAATGCTGCGGAGCCGACCAACAGGTATCACCTGTGAGAGCCCTCCACAAGAGGGCTCCTGGTCCCTAAACTCGGAGCTGTTCTGAGCGGGCAGGGCAGCCTGGCCCTCGCTCCCTGCAAAACCCTTGGGAACAGAGTGAGGATGATTAATGAACGTGCTTCCCTGCTTAAGCAGCAGCAGGACATGGCTCAGTGCATCACGAGATGGCAGCCAGCCACCAAGGAAGCCCAGCTTCCATCCACAGACTGCAGCTGTCCCAGGCGCTGGAGCTGGGAAGCACCAGCCACCTACAGGAAAATCCTGACAAACTTTTACAACAAAAGAGAATGGGTTTATTTTGTAGGTGAACTCCTGCCACTCGCATCACAAAACTCCCCAGAATTCATGCTAATTCATTCTAGTATCTGTTCCAGACAGGGCCTTCCCCAGAGGAAAACATGAGTGGGTGGTCAGGTTTGGAAATGAGACAAGTGGCCTGAATGAGAGTTTCCCCTCCTTTCCGGCTCCAAACTATTAAACTTTTAGATTCTGCAGTGGACAACCTGACAAAGTTGTGACTTCCAGGTCCCCACAGCTGCTGCTCTGGGGCATTACCCTGGCAATTCTGCAGGCATTACCCTGGCAATACTGCATGCAGTGGCGAGAGCAGAAATGCAGTCACCTGGATAATGATATGAATAAGAACAGTTAACTGCTAATCTTCACTTAAGTGTCTTTTTGGAGGACACAGCCCTGAAAACTGCTGAGCTTTCAAACCAAAGCAAATATAATCTTTTGTAATCATAAAACCTTGGCAAGTCAGACTTTCCTAGCCCATCTTTTCTAACACCCCATTATCAAAAGTAACTCCTTTTAAAATAGGAATGCTTTCTGGGCAAGTTTGAGGAAGGAAACTTTCCCTTCTCTGTTCCTCCAGCTGCTGAAGGGAATGGACATATCTCACAAGTGGACTGGCGTGTCTCATCATACTGGGAAAACTGGAGTTGTTCTTTTGTTCCCCCTCCCTTACCACCATTTGGTCAATCCTCAGTTTCTATCATCAGTGATGTTCCCACGTTGAGGCATCAGATCAGGCTCACAGGGAATCAGCCGGAACCTCTAGGGGTAAAGCCACACGTGGCACCTGAGGTAGGGATGAGGAACTCACAAATGAGCCCAACAGGACAGGCACTAAAAGACAGCCCAGTGTTTAGTTGGGAGGCCCATAAAATGAGCACAGGGGCAATGGCAGGGGATGTCACTGCAGATCCTGACAGCTGGGTGACACGTGGTGTTTTGAGCTAACATTGCAGAAGCATGTAATGGTATTTGAGAAACTGTTTTGCCAAGAGAAGAGTGAAGAAAATTACCTGCAAATGCTATCTGGTCATACAGATGATGTTTCAGCTGTCACTTTAGAGCTCATGGGTGCCTTTGTATATTCTTTCACAGTCTCTTCCACTGAATCCTGGCGCTTACAACAGTGAGAACAAACTGAAAAGAAGATCCCTTGTTAGTATATGAATATGGTCATAGTCTGATCTGAGAGACAGCTCTGTTACAAATAAATACGATCTATATAGTGTCATATGGATAAAGCTGCTCTCATTAGCACAGGGCTAGAACCTTAGCCTGGCACAAGAACAAGTTGCTACATGCTGAGATAAGGTCAGAAGGGAAATAATGATGGAAGTTACATGTCACTAATTGCAATTTACCTATTGAGTGAAAGAATGCCTGTTTTAAAACCAACAAACTCAGTGCTTTAAGAGGATCTCATATTAAGCAAATCCCCTTAATATCTCACCATCTATGACTGAATTTTAGTAGTTCAAGTTGAATCTTGTTCAATTGTGCTAGCACAAATTATGCAATGTGAATCCTAAACTATTCTTTAATCTTGGTCACCTCTAATCTTCGTGCTTTGTGTTTTCATTCTTAAATTACTGCCAAGTAGGCTGAGCTCCTCCGAGTAGGTGGTTGTGAACCTCAACACAGCACCTGATTGTTTTGGCCACCACAACAATCATGTATCTGAGAACTCTTCCGTTTTCTTTTGCTCTGCCTTTCTATTCTTTCCTCCCACACTTCAGCTCTTTGAAGCATGGCTTTTTGAGAAACCACTCTTAGCAACTCCTGACTCAGCTTTCCATGGCTCAGAACAACAGAGGTACTCTCAGACCTATTCTGAGCTCCCATGAGAGCTCTTGAGAGGTGACCTGCAGCAGCAGCCACAGGAAGCATCTTAGGGCAGATACTTCCCTTCCCAGACAGGTGGCCATGCACTGCAGCACTGAAATGGGACAGCTACACAAACTGAAAAGCTGGATGGAAGCTCTGGCTTCAGTTTCTTACACTTCTTACAGTTTCTTTTACAGTTTCTTCCATGCCTGGTCTGGAAATTGGCTGAACCAAATAGCACCACCTGACTCAGCAAATCTACACCCTGTGCATATTATGGAAGTGGGACTAAAAGGGAAATTCCAGTTAATCTGGCCGTGTGCCACGCTGTTTGCAGGTGATTGCATTCTACCACATGGGTATGCTTTTTACATCTGCTTAAAAGCAACTCAGTTCCTATATAAAAGGCTATTTCAGAGTGCTCCAGGATCTTGCTAATTTAATGGTAAGGAACCTTTTAATTTCCAGCCTATAATTGTTGAGAGCCAAACCTTCCGATTCCAGTTCATTTTCTCCTATAATTAGAAGTTCATTATACATGCAGCTAACAGCTCTGATCAACTGTGATTTTCTTGGTTTCAGCCTGCTTGTTGCTTTCCTGTTGATACAGCCCCAGGGAACAGCAGGGGAGAAGAACTGGCACTGGTGTCATAAGGGCACAGAGGTGGAAAATGAGGAGGTGCACAGGAGGACCCAGACTCACTGCCTTCCAGAAGCTTCCTTTCTTTGTGATAAAACACTAAAAGGAAATTAGCCCAGCTTGACTCAATGGTCACGTTGGTTTTTGAAGGGATGTGGTTGATGTGGAGGGGAAAAGAAAAATAGTAGAGTGCTCCACACATCTGACTGGGGAGTGAATTTGTCTAAAATTGAAGTAGAGGTTTCAGAAGACACAAGCAAGGCAAACTTACAGGTGGCTGTAAGTGGGCTGAGTCCTTGCTGCCCAGAAAATGACCTTTTCCAAAGGGCAGTACCACAGGCAGGTGGTGTAAGTGGCCTGAACATAGAGCCCTCAGTGTGAGATTCTTGTCCCCAGATGTGGCTCCCCCAGTGACCTGACAGACATCAGCTGGGTGTTATTTATCCTCATGTGTTGTAAGGCCTGCTGTCATTTTCCAGGACTGCTCTACAAAGCTGCTCACAGGATGTGGATGAGGCACCTACTGCTGTTGACTTTCAATCCTACCTGCCTTCATGAATCTATTAAATGCCTGCCCACATCTTTTGGGGACTTTCTGGCAAGGTCAGCTTAGACATGATTAGGAGCAACAGCTGACAGATAGGATTTTTCTGAGGATAAAAAAGTAAATTACTCAGCTGTCCACTAACCCTGAGATATTTGAGGTCCCCTTTGCCACTGAAAAACTCTTGGAGACTTCTCTGGAGTTACTGAAGACTTCATAAGATGGGACCAGACACTTTACCTGTGCCATTTTTGGCCATACAAAGAATACAAATCTAAGTCTCCTGGTTGGTGTTCTCATAAAAGTAGGACATTGCTCTGCTGAAGTCTTTCCTGTGGCTCTAACACTAGGTGTTTTTGTTACTTTGGCTCAGTGACTTTCTGAGGAATTAAGTAGGGTGTGGAGCAATATCCAATTTTGAAGCTCTCATTGCTCAGCTTGTGTCTATCATGATCACCAAGATTCTTGGCATCTTAAAGCATCTTAATACATAAAAATGAACCTTTGTGAACTTCTTCATTATCCCTGATTTTGGAAATATTTTGATCTGCTGTCAAAACTCCCTGTCACCTCTTCACTCTCAAACCTGAACTCAAATGTTGCCTGCACACAAAATGTAGGAAAATCATAAGCTAGACTTAGATTTTGTGACAGTGGATGCTAAAAGGAAAAAAAAAAAGAAAATTAGAAAAACGAGAAGGTGATACAGAAATACCTAGTGTGACAGTAAAGTTTCTATAAATGTGTATCTTACATAGAAACTCCATGAGCACTAGCAGACACCTTGAAAAAGAAGCTGCACTTACCATGCCTTGGGAGGTATCTTGCTGCCAGGGTGATAGCCACAATGAAGATGATAACGATGATAATTGAAGCAGTAATGACATTATAAGATGGATGTACAGGAGGAACAATGCAGTTGTTTGTTTTTTCTGAGACAGGAGAAATAAAACATAAATAAATGGCCCAACAGGATATTGGCATTTTCATGTAAAAGCAGGTATGTGAATTTTGGGGTTCTGGCCAACTTCTAACTCGCTATTCAGCCTGAAAATGAACTTAATCAATATACAAGCAAACAAAGCTGAAATTTCACCTAAATTTCTGCCATTCACCCACAATTGCTAGGGGCTGAAATTTTTAACACATCCACAGAACGTAAAAAGCTGGGTCTTCATCCAGAACAGGACTGAGACAAGAAATATTTAAAAACACATGAGCTGTTTCAGGGAAAATAGCTAGGCTTGGTGGAAAAGTCTAAGTTCACAGTTAGAAAATTTCTGCTCTCAAAAGTACTCTGCAGTTTTCTTTGCTGTTTTCATCAGATTTATGACTATTTTTTTTGCCTTTGGATTCACAGGTGAAGGAGGAGGATGCATTTAACAGTCTAGACTTTTTTCTGCATGGCAGGAACAGTGTTGTGGCAGAATTCAGTTTTAGTGTGTCTGGAGCCCTTGGCTTTTCACCATTGGAGACGGTGGAAAATCCCATTCTACCACTGGGATTTTAGAGTAAATACTGAGCCATTCTTGTATAGGACAGGACTTGCTGCATGTCCATAGGTCTGCAGACCTATCTGCACAGATCTTCAGTTCTTCCACCATCTGCATCTGGCACAGGTAAGCATTGTTCCCCTCCTAAGGCATTAATTAGCCTGATCTGCTGTTCAGTCTTCCCCTCAGGAGGGGATGCAAACCTCCAAATCTGCAGGGGTTGCCTTCTACATTTACCAGAGGCTCTGTTCTGTCTGTAACTCAGTGTTCATGAAAGGATTGTTTGGAGGACCATTTACACCATACCAAAATGGTAGTGGTTCCACATCCTATTAGTCAAAAAAATGGGGGGTTTGTGACTGCTGTGGCTGTGTCACTGTTGACTGCACTCTCCTCTGATTACGGATTTTTTTTTTTTTTTCTTGTTCTCTGTTTCTGTGTATCGAGCTATTCATAACCTTATTCTCCCTTCATTAGGGACATTATGTTCTATATCCAGCAATAGCCAATATTCATAAAGCACCAGTTCCTGGCATTTGTTCTGAAGCTGAATGGCACCTCTCCCTACAAGCCCCTTTGATTTCAGTAAGATAGATGAATAAGCTACCTTGATGAATAAAGTACAACTCCCTAGGAAAAATACTGCTTCTCTATCTTCCCTTGAAGGTGCCCTTATCTCCACAGTAAAAACATCAGGCCCAGAGACATTTCAGAATACTTTTTTGGTAACAAGATGGGAAAAAAAAATCCTTTTGGTTTTACAAATTTTCTTGCAAATCCCCTTCTACTGCAAAACATCTGGAATGTAGTGTGCTGCCTTCACTCATGCTGTTTCCACTTGTGCCTCAAGCTTTTCAAAGCACAGACTTATCTATTATGCCATCACTTCTAAGCCATGCTTAGATGGAAGTGATGGAATTCTTTTCGTATGAGTTAACCCTATATTACATTTGAAAGCAGAATTTTGTCTAGACCCCAGCTGACAGTTTCTTTCACTGAAGCAGGGACAAACATGCTTGTTAAATGAGGAAATTCTTTTAAAGTGCAGCCTGTGGCTTTTAGAGCAGACACATTTCTCTGGTCCCCCCGTTCAAATACCAGGTCTGTGTCACACAGCGGGCAGCAGGACCATGCTGGTATGGAGTGGCACTGGATGGTGGCAGCCACAGCCTGTGGGAGCCACCAAACGTGACATTACCAGATCACAACAGGACCCAGTTCAGCTCTCAGTCCAGCTGTAGTAGAGCTGCAGGAAGACAGAGCTGCTTCTGCTTGTTAGTCACTGTTGTAACTCTCCCTTTCCTACCACGGCTATCTTCCAGCCTCTAAAATATTTTGGTGCGTTGTTCACAAGCGGGATCATTGGGTAATCCTTGCATGAACACTTGCACAAAATCTGCTGCATTCTTAGAGAGGCAACTCAGCAGATTCAACCAAATGGTTCTGTTACAAAAACATTAATAAAACATACTCAGAGGCAAACTGGTAGACTTGGCAAAGCCACTGTATTCAACGGAGCAAGTGATGTTGATGTCTTTGGTCACGTTGAGCACCAGTTTTCCGGTGACATTGTATGGGCTGAGGCTGGACTCGGACACCCAGCTGGCATTCCACTCCACGGACACATTGTTGAGGGCTCCAGAGATTTTGGGCTTGGGGAAACCCCCGTGAGAAGAACATGTTATCACCATCTCAGTCGACTCGCACGAATCGGCGGACACCTCTGCCGTTATGTTGGGCTTGCTGAAGTCAGCTGAAGCAAGAGGGATTTGGTTACCATCCTGTCAGGCCACAGCCAGGTTTGCAGCCCCCAAAACCCACGGTCAAAGCAAAGACTACCCCACAGGGCATTCACCACGGGAAGTTTTTTCTGCCTATGGGCTAAAATACCAAGCAACCAGTCACTAGTGAAAGAAACTTGCTCAACACTGTGTGGCTGAGCAGTGGCAAGCAAGGAGAGACAGTTTTCCTTCCAGGCCCGCTCTCTGTTGAGCAATACCGCACTGCCATCCAGCCCGGAAAATCTCTTCAGACATCCCAGCCTGATTCCAGCATTTCCCTTTCCTGATCTCCACAATAACTTGATCCCACTTCACCAAAGGGAGCAGAAGTCTAGCATAATTATTTCAGCTGGCCTGTAAAGACAGCAAGGGGATTTCTGGCTGGAAAGAAACTGGAGTATTTGTGGACAGGAAAAAAGATCCGTAGTTTTTTATGCAGTTAACTTCTCAACCCTCATAGTTAAAAAAGGGTGCTGGCAGTACACTTCCCTTTTTTCATGCCAGTTCCCAGAAAGGTCACTAAATTTGTCTCCTTGCACATATGCCCTCAGACCAGCAGGAAATGGTCAAACCTCAGGAGCTCGTCTTATTTTGTTGCCAAATCTCCTTCCAGATGAGGAATGCTCCTTCACTGACTTGTCTGGAACATTCATGTAACTCTCTGCTGTTAAAGGTATTCAAATATATATTTATATATGTCACCAGTGTCTCTGTCTTTGGTTGAGATCAACTGCCACAAAAACACTGGTGGAAATGGAAAATGTCAGTGGAACTTTTTGTGGCCTCTAAGAAAATATTCAGATTCATTTTGAACAAAGGAATTCTGTTTCTTTAATGTAAAAAGCCTCAAAGGTCCATGATGAATTCAGCCTTTGGCTGTGGAGCTGCAGTGCAGCTAGTTGCACAGGGGTTTGGATGCAGGGCTGGGATGCTGCCATGGCCACCCTATTTCTCTTTCACTTTGGTCTTGCTAAGGGCAAGACTAAGGGCTTGGTCTTGCTTTGCCCCAAAGACAGCAGAGGCTTCCTCAGGTAGGAGGAAGTCACCAGTGGTACCTGGGGAGGGCCCCAGGAGGGATCCTTTCACAAGAGGAAGACATCAAGGGGAGGAGGTTGGGTTGGTGGTGGGAAAAAAATTTCTGTACCTGGGGTAGCTTTAGAAAGGTAAGAAGTGAGGCTGCTGGAATGGAAGCAGTTAACACATCTTCCAGCACTCTTTCAGGCTTCCTGATGGAAGTCTATCTGCTACAGTATGAATAAGGCTGGAAGAGCATCCTTCACCCCCAGAAGCTGGCACTGGAGTGCCTCAGATGTCAGGAGGCACCCCACCTACCTGTCACAAAGAGGATGACAGACTCTCTACACACGAGAACAGAATTGCGCTGAACTACACACTGGTAAGAGCCATTGTCCAGGATTTCCATGGGGGAGATCCACAGGGTGAGGTTCCAGGGGTCCATCTCTGTCCGGTTCTGGTACCGCTCGTGCTGGAATATCATATTCTCCTCTGGGTAGGCCAGCACCACATCCGTAATGTTCTTCTGCCAGTAGACACGGTAATTTTGTAGGCTTTCTGAGCTGGGAATTTCATGACAACAAGGCAGGCTGACCTTTTCCCCCACTTTGCTTTTGACTACTTTGTTCTCCAGTGCTTGGCCTGCAGGTGAGGGACAAACAAAAGTCAGTGAGTCAGTGGTACAGCCTTGTGCCAGGACCTGTTGCCTAAAGTTCACCCTTTTTGGCTCTGATTCCTCACATCCCTCATCACCCACAGAGCTGTTTTACAGCTTCAGCTCTGCACTGAGGGGAGCCATCCTTGGGCATTGCCTTGTACATCTTGCTCCAGTCCTACTCAGGATCATGACCAATCCACAAGGATTGCTGCATGGATTGCTGAAGGCAAAGGTAGAAGAGGTGCTTGCCTGAACAGAAATTTTGCTAGCCCCTTTAAAAACAGGGATAGAAACACACATGCACAAACTTCTGTCTCCTCTGCGCTCCCTTTTCAGAGCCTGGTGTTTGGAAAATCTGCGTAACTCTCCACTGGGTTCTCTGCATGACTAACAGCACCACAGTGGACTATTTGTTCAGGGGGGCTGGGGGATTTTTGGTAGTTGTTTTTTTTTGTCAAATTAAAAAACCCAAAACTTCCAAGATCCCAGAAACTAGAATCAACCATACAATGATACACAAAGGTTGCAGCCACACTGTTATCAGTCTTCCAGCATTAACAACTGAAAAATTTTGCCTAGTCTAGCTAGAATGAATTTATCTTTATGAAAGCTCATGGGATGACTTGGAACCAGTACAGATGTTCCCCAACTCCTGGCCAGTGACTGTGCTGGTGCCATACCTGGAGTACATGGGCTGACAACAGTAAGCTGAGACCCTTGCAGGGTGAAATTAGGTACAACTCTGTGAGCAGTAATTCCCCTACTAAGCACCCCGCTCTCATGATCCGCCTTGCTTTCCCACTCCTTCCTCTTTCCAGTGGGTAAAGGTTCACAGGCCTGACATCCGAGGGAGCAGCTCAGCAAGGAGTTCCTGCTGCTGCTGAAAGGTGACCCAGCATGAACACACAGCCCTGTGCTGCACCACAGGGCATATGGCTGGGCTTTCACCCAAGTCAGTGCAAGCCTGGGGATGATGTGCTTCATCATCATCATTGTAACCCGCCTTTGTTAGTCCAGAAGATCAGGTTGCTCTCTGTCC